CCTGTGGAGAGGGCCCACCCGGAGGTGCATTGGGCCAGTTGGATTTTGGGATTAAGTTGGGTGGGGCAGGTGGGTGCATGGAGGAGTCCCTGCTGCCTCTGCAACCAGCCCTGCAACCACCCCCTTGCAGGTCTGTTAATTCTTCCTTGTGCATAAAGAGGGAGGCAGGTCTGGGCTGTGTTGTCCTGCAGACCCCTGCCTCAGCCACCTCTGCACAGGCTGGTGCTCACTCCTCCACACCTTGCTGTGACCTGTCTGGCATGCCGGTTGACATGTGGGTCCCCCTGACACCCACCCCTTCCTCCCACCCAAGCAGGCTCATGGCTGTGAACGTGGGCCACATCTGTTGCTCCTGTTTTATTTTCTGATGTGTTTTATTTTATTTTATTTTTTTTGAGTTGGAGTCTCACTCTGTCGCCCACACTGGAGTGCAATGGCCGCTCCCGGCCACCACAGCCTCAACCTGCTGGGCTCCGGCGATCCTTCTGCCTCAGTCTTCCAAGCAGCCGGAACTACAGGCGCACACTACCACGCCCGACTAATTTTTGGTTTATTGTAGAGATGAGGTCTTGCCAAGTTGCCCAGGCGGGTCTTGAACCTGCGGGCTCAGGCAATCCACTCACCTCAGCCTCCCAAAGTGTGGGATTACAGGCTGAGCCACCGAGCCCAGCTTCTGATGTGTTTTAAAAACTGTAAACTGTGGGCATGGTTTTCCTCTTGTGGCCTCCAATGAGCCTTTCTGAGAGCAAGGGTGAACCTGTGTGCCTGCAACACCGTCACTCTCATGGCTGGGCCCAGGGAGTACCTAGAGGGCTTGCGGCCAGTGTCCTGGGGGACAGAGCTGCCCTTGGCTCACAAGCAGCCCTGTTGTTTCCCGGGCAGATTGGAGGCCAGGGCCATGGGCCAGAATGGAGCACCGCAAGGCGGGCCTTGAGGGAGGCTGTGGACCAGGAGCTGGCAGCCCTGCTGCAGTCCTGGGAGCAAGACAGGGGCCCAGCCCAGCTCCATGGATCCCAGCCCCATGGAGTCCATCGGCTGGTGAGACGCGAGGATGGGGCATCAGAGGATCACGACCTGCAGGCATCCGAGGTAATCCAGGCACTGAGGAGCCAGGAGGCCCACCTGGAGGCAGTGCTGCATCAACTACAGGGACAGTGTCGGCAGGAGCTGGCCAGGCTAGCGGGAGCCCTGCCTGACCTCATCTGGATCCTGCCACCTGGACGCTGAGGGCCTGTGAATGTGTGGGGAGTCTGCTTTGGCTCAGCCTGGCTGGGTCTTAGAGGAGCAGATTCCAGGGCCGGGTGGCCGCAGGAACAACGAAGATGCAAAACCCCAGGCCTCATACTCACCCCAGGAGTTGGGGCTGCTCTGACCGTGGCTGGAGCCCAGACCCTGTCAGCCGCACTGGGGTGGGCATGGCTGGTCCCTGAGAAGGGTGTGACAGGCCTAGTCCATGGTCTGGAGGGGACTCAGAAATAAACTGCAGCGGCCTCCCTCTGCCACCCTTTCAGCTTCCTCTGGGGTTAGGGGGAGGAGGGGGCTCGGGTGAGTGGGGGAAGGAGAGACCCTGCAGAGGCATCTGAGGCTGGGGACCCGTGGCCTGAGGTACAGGGGGATGTCGGGGCCCAGGGGTATGACGTTGGGATCTGGGTGGGGGCTCGGGCCTCCCGAGCAGACCTGTCCTACACGGCCCCCTGTCCCTCTCTTCCTGGGCTCCCGTTGGGCCCTGATTCCTGACTCCAGACTGCGAGCACAGCTGCTCCCACCCCCGATCCTGGTATGGATGTGCCTGGGGTACGTGTTGGGGGGCACCGGATGGGAGCCTGGGGGCTCCACGCCTTTCCTGGAAGTGGTGCTTGGGCTGAGGGGAGGCCGCCGTGGGGACAGAGGGGCTTTGTTCCAGGAGCTGTCCAGTGAGTGCAGCTCAGTCCTGACAAAGAGCCATCTGTGTCGGAGGGATGTGCCCCCAGCCCCACGGAAGGAGGTTGGCCTCATGGCACTCCCCCACCCCCACCAGCAGGCATGGGCCCTGCAGCCTCCAGCCCTGCCTCCCCCACCAGCCTCCCCTCTCTTCCCGGGGCAGTTGAACCCTGACCCAAAGCATGCAGGCCATGGGCTGGTGGGCTACCTCTAGCCTCCTGCCGACTTGGCCGAGGCCACATCCAGCCCCTGGGTACCCTGAGCTCCTCTGCCAGCACCTGCTCCCAGGAACCCTTTTTGCCTGACGCAAAGGCTGGAGTGGCTCACACCTGGGCAGCAGCCCCGTCTCCTCAGTCCCTAGGGTGGACAGATCTGTGTGCCTCTGTTCCCGCCATTCTCACGCGTGGGCCTCTGTTGCTCTGCTGGACCCATGGTGGCTGGCAAGGCCTCCTTTCAGGAACGTACCCCTGACCCTCCTGGGCTGGCCCTAGCGAGTTGTCAGGGCTTCCTGCAGGCCATGGGGTCTGCAAATACACCCTGGCCTGGAGAAGCACCCCCCCGCCTCTTCTTCCCCTGCTATTCTTATTAAGGGCTCTGGTGCCTCTGCTGGCTGATGCCAGCTCTGGCCTGGGGCATTTGGGACCTTGGCGCTCCTCCACTCGCAGCCTCTGGATGTCACCCCTGGACTCCCCAGTCATCCTCTCAACCACCAGGGCTCTTCTTGTGCTGGAAACAGCTCCCTGCTTTCTGCAAGCTGCCACAGGCCCAGCACTCTCATGTCCCTGGGAACTTAACTTTTAGACTCCCAAATACAGACTGTGATCTTGGTTCACTGCAGCCCCACTCACAGCCCACCGTAAAGGGAAGCTTAATGCATCTGACACCATCAAAACCAGAAACACGTTTATTAAAATACAAAGAAGATGAAAAGACCAGCCAGCATGGGAGGCTGTTTGCATTTGCCACCAATACAGAAATGGAATTGAGAAAGTACCCAGAGCTTCCCATCATTATGGAAAGACAGATGGGCAGGTGCTTAGGGAGGGCAGCAGGAACACAGGAAAGCAAGTGCAGACGCTTACCCCCTGTGACCAGGGAGATGCAGATCAGGAGCACATGGGATCCTGGACACAGTGTTAGGTGGCACGTGGGGACCTACACGCATTCCACAGGTTGGAAAGGACTCACGCTGTGTGGCACATGGGTTTGAACATCCACCATGGAAGGCACTGGGTTCCCCGGAGAGTCAAGCAGCCCGGCTCGGCCTGGCCCTGTGTCTGTGACCACAGTGTTGGACATGGCCATGGTCCACCCAGAGGACAGTGGGTGAGCACAACTGACAGTGTAGTGGGCCAAGGCACTGCGTTAGGCAACCTCTGGGATCCTGTGTGAAAGAATCTGTAGAAACTTCAGGAAAAGGAAAACATTGCAGAACATGGCACATAATAAGGCCATTAAAAAGAAAAGAAGGCGGGGCTCGGTGGCTCAGCCTGTAATCCCAGCACTTTGGGAGGCTGAGGTGAGTGGATTGCCTGAGCCTGCGGGTTGGAGACCAGCCCAGGCAACTTGGCGAGACCTCCTCTCTAAAATAAAAAATAGCTGGGGGTGGTAGTGTGCGCTTGTAGTTTCGGCTACTCGGAAGGCTGAGGTGGAAGGATCGCTGGAGCCCAGCAGATCAAGGCTGCCGTGACTGGAAGTGCCACTGCCCTCCAGTCTGGGCAACAGAATTGAGACTCCAACTCAAAAAGAAAGGAGCCATCAGTGAGCAGGGAGGGGTTGGTCTTTATTTATTTATTTATTTATTATTTATTTTTATTTATTTTTGAGTTGGAGTCTCAC